CCTTCCAACCCCTATGATTCTGTGATCCTTCAGCAGGTGGCACCAGTGCTCCTGCCCTCACTGTGGCCTTGCCTGTGTTGCAGAACATGAGCCTGCTGTCGGAGGCGCGCTCGGCGCGGGTGTACCGGGACGAGCTGGACGCCCTGCGGGAGAAGGCCATCCGCGTGGACAAGCTGGAGAGCGAGCTCGGCCGCTTCAGGGAGAGGCTGCACGACATCGAGTTCTACAAGGCACGAGTGGAGGTAAAGCAGGGAAGAGAGACCCATAACCAGCGTGGCTCTGTGTGCTGGGGCTTTATCAAAGTTATTGCATCACTTAAACATCGGGAGGTGAAAACTGTCTTACTCTGGGATATAATAGTCTTTTGTGATAGGTTTACGGTTTTGGGGAAAGAGCTCCTCTGTGTAATGGCATGTTGTTGTGGTCTGAGGCTTGGAATGGGGGCGTGACCTTCCAGCAACTGGGAGGACCCCAGGTGGGGGTGAACCATTGTATTCTCTCCCCTTCCCACACACACTCTGATAAGAGGCAAGAAGTGGGTTCTAATTTCACTCCTGCCTTGGAGCTCAGAGAGGGAAGTTGTCCTTTCACTCCGTGGGACCCTGGAACCATTTCTGAGGGTTTTGTATATTTTATTTTTTGTATTTTTCCCCTAATCTTTGTATATATTATTTTCCTTACCTCCCTTTTTCATTTGCTGTTCCTTGTTGAACAATATACTTCATTTTTATTTCCAAAATGTCGCGTCTCCCCTCCTGAGAGAGAGACAGAGTACATAGTTCTGTTCCATGTGGGTCCTGCCCTGAACCCCTTTTTACACGGAACCAGGACACATGTGATGTCATTTGAAGCCACCATTATTCACCATAGCTATAAACTAGAAAGATGAGTAGGAGCCTCTTGTTTTTTTAAGAAACCCAGAGAGGAGTTAATTAAAAATATGCTATAAATGTAATAATTTCATTCTCTTGTGGGTCACCTAAGAGAAGGTAATTAAGTTCTTCACCATGAGAGTGGTGAGACCCTGGGATGGGTTGCCCAGGGAGGTGGTTGAGGCCCCATCCCTGGGGGTCTTTAAGGCCAGGCTGGAGGAGGCTCTGGGCAGCCTGATCTAGTGGGAGGTGTCCCTGCTCATGGCAGAGGGGTTGGAACTGGGGGATCCTTGTGGTCCCTTCCAACCCTGACAGATTCTGATCTGTTTTAGCAGAGGACTTTAGAGCCCTAATGGCTCAAGGGTTGGACTTGATGATCTTGGAGGTCCCTTCCAACCTAAAGGATTCTGTGATTCTAATTTTCTAAGTAAAGTGTTGAGGAAATGGTGAGTACACACGAGTATACACATGAGTGTAGGACATTGGCATTCTGTGCATAAAATGTACTGAAAAAATATGCTCTGACACCAGGCAAGGGGGACTTTACAGTTCTGTCAGGAATTAGTAGTTTAAGAAGCAATTCATCAACATGGAGGATTTTATTAGGCCACCGTTCTGTTTGTCAATGGCAGATTTGCTGGGCAAATATTGTGGTGGAAAAATGTCATAATGCTGATGACAGCATCCTCTGGAAAGAGATCTCACTAAATGTTTACAAGTTAAAACTTTGCAGGGAGTGTAGACTTTGTATGTCACAGCATAAATCAGCTACTGTTGATGAGAGGGGGAAAACTGCAGGGCAAATCCCAAATCTTTTTAATGTTCAGTTGTAGATCCTTCATCCAGAACATCTAATAATAGCTGTGGTCAGAAATAACACGTGTCAACTGACATGGGAGTTATTAGCTTTTTAATGGAAAATGAGATGGATGTTTTTTCCAGGTGAACTGCAGTGTAAAAACTTCAGCAATAGACTAGTGAGACATAAGGTGCATGGTGTAGATTAAAGCATAGTTAAAAGGCCTTTAGACACTTCTGACATTTAAAGAAAATCATGGTTCCCAAGGCTTTTTTTTTTAGCATTACTTGCTCTTAGCCTTGTTGTGGAAATGAATTTTATCACCTTACTCTGTGATGTGAAATAGTCTGGTGAAACTGGAAGAAACTCTCTCAAGATACTCCAAATACAGACCTTACCAGCTGTTACTGAAACATCCATTCTTGAGGAGGCTCCAAAGGTGCCTTCAGCTGAAAGCCAAGGCTGGTAACTGCTTTCCAGCTCTGGACCTTTTTTCAGTGTCTGATGTGCTTCAAGCAAGATACTGCTCTTCACCTTGAGCTCAGTGACAGAGGCCCAGCACTGTCATTGGTGTTCTCAGGGCTCCTCAGAGGTGCTGGCTGTCACCCACGTGGGATGTAAGAGATGAGCATACATGGGTCTGTTGGAAAATCAGGTACAGGGAGTGTTGAGCATTGTCACCTGCATCTGAGCAAACCTTTGTATGTGAGCTATTGGAAAGGCATCTTATGTGAATTATAAACTGTGTGCATCTCCTGCTGTTGTACTGAAAGCAACAGGGTTAAAACAACTGGTGAAGGAGAAGAGATTAGTGTACAAGATTGGAAAACAGTGGAAATTTACAACTAAAGGAGTAAAAAACCTAACATGGGTTTACATGTTTCATAGCTTGTAAACTATCTGCTTTTTCAAGCATGCTTGAATAGAGATAGATGTTAATTAGTTGGTTTTGCTTCATAATAATAGTAATAATTATAAGTTAACTTAATATTTGCAATAGGGAGGAATGTGAAGGATAAATATATGTTATGTTCACTGATCTTTCTTCAGATTTTGCAGCTGACTGTGGTGAGGTTTGAAAAGTTTTGTTTCTATCACGAGTAAAATTACAAATTATGTTTTTACAAGTTATTATTACTTTCATTAGATGCCATTTAAAAAAAAATGTATGTACATAAATTAAAGCTGTTTAGAACCTTTGAATATGGCTGGTGGTCTTTTGAGAATGTGGCTGCATTTTTAGCATCATGTCCTGATTTCAGCTTAAATAGGTTTGCCCAAAGACCTACAAACCTAATTATGGCCTGTAGAAGATTTTTCTCCTGAGCTTTGTTTCCTGCAACCCCAAGATAGGGAGTTCAGTCTGGTACTGAGATAAATTGTGGACTGAAAGGAGCATCTGCATCCATCTTCTGTCCTTGTGAGTGGCCAATAGGAGATGCTTAGAGGAGAATAAAAGAACAGGGCAAGCACTTGCTGATATTTTCCTGTTGTGCTCTCCCAGCTTCCATCAGTCTCTGCTCAGGAAAATTATACTCAGAGGTTAGGTAACTTCTCAACACATCTAATCCCTTTCATCTGCAGAGGCCTGTAGCAGTAAGCTCCACAACTCAATTACATGGTGTGTGAAGTAGTGCTTTCTGTTTTGAGCCTGATACCTATAATTTTTATTTGATGCAAGCCTTTTTCTTAGCTGTGATCCATATACATGCAGTGCATCTTACCAGGTCACACCTCAAATCTCAGAGATACTTGTGGTTTGATTGTGATTAGGAACCACCTTATTTTTTCTTAATGATTTAGGGACTATTTAACTTCTCTGAAGTTATGTAAAACCTTCTCATAAACACGTCATGTTACACTTACATGAAATCACTGTATATTTTTTTTTTTATAAAAAATCTATTGAGCTTCCAAATGAATGTTTTAGCAATGTTTCTAAAGAGCTTTTTTTCACCTTTTTTTTTTTTTTCCTTAATTCTTGCAGGAGTTAAAGGAAGACAATCAAGTGTTGCTAGAAACAAAGACAATGTTGGAAGATCAATTAGAGGGGACCCGAGCCCGTTCTGATAAATTACATGAGTTAGAAAAAGAGAATCTACAATTAAAAGCTAAATTACATGATATGGAGATGGTAAGTGTAAATGAAGGATGACAAAGACAATTGACATGCATTGAATTTCATTTCCATTTTTAATAAAAGAAACACAGTCAAAAGAGTGGGGGAGAGGAGGAAGGTATGTCTTCATTTCCTGACACCTTTCAGGTACAGTTTCTCTTCCTAAATGCTGTACAGTGTTTAATTGGGTAGCTAAAATAGGATGTGAAAAATACAGAGAAACATTAGTAAGAGCAATAGGATCAGGTTTGGGTTTTTTTTATGTGAAGATAGTCTGTTGTCACTTAAATATTCAGATAAAAGAGGTTGTTTATATTTCAGATTTTGGTAGTATAGTGACATATTTTTCAGAAGGTTATTCCCCAAATAATTTCTAACCAGTTCTTCACAAGATAAGTGTTCTAAATTATAAAGTCATAATTTGCTTGGGTGTTTTGGGGGTTTTTTTTAGTTTTCCTGAAGGGGTGGCAGATTGCTACCTTCTGTTTACTTTCAGTTTTTGCAAAATGCAGAGAGATACATTAAAATAACGTGTGGAGAGAAGGGTTTGTATAGAGCCAGGTGAGACACTCTCATCACAGAGCCAGTCCTGTTACAACTTTGTGCATCAGGCTGCTCTTAAGATAGTGTAAAGATGAAATTTTGCTTCCCTGTTTTCTTTTTTTAATGTTACGTGTGAAATAATTTTTAAGGAACGAGATATGGACAGAAAGAAGATTGAGGAACTCATGGAGGAAAATATGACTCTAGAAATGGCTCAGAAACAAAGTATGGATGAATCATTGCATCTTGGCTGGGAACTTGAACAGATAAATAGGACTACTGAACTTTCTGAAGGTAAACATTGTAATACTTGTAAACTGATAAAACAGAAATTGAAAGCTCAAGGACTGGACAACATTGGGAAATAACAAGTCCTCCTAAAGTACAGAGCTTTGTGTTCTGGAGAGATGTGACAGTTTGGGGGTGGGTTGATGTTTTTGTTTGGGGTTTTTTGTTTGCTTACTTTTGTTGTGGTTTGTTTGTTTTGGTTTCATTGGTTGGTTGTTGGGTTTGTTTGGTTTTTTTTTACTCAAAGTAAAAAATCCTTATACCCTTGGAGATAGAGCCTATGGGAAGAGTTTCTGTTCTTGTGCTTCTTGTTCAGATAAACAGAGGTGTAAAACCCATAAATAACCTGGAGTTACATTGTGTTGCCATTCAGACTTCTGGACTCTGTAGCACACATCACCAGCTAAGTCTTTGCAGGGTGATTGTTTGCAGATGTAGCTGTGGCAAAAAATGTGATTCTTCCAATATAGTGTGCTTGGTCATACACTGGATCCTGTGCAAAGGATTTGTGGAAATGAAGAGATGTATCCTCAGCTGCAGGAAACAAATCTCTGCTCTGATTAGGAACAGTAGGATGAGTAGAACACTTCTTTTTATGCATCTGCAGTTTTAACTGTTGGGTGAGGAAGGTGGGTCATAAGTCATAATTAGCTCTGTTCACCAAGAAGGTATTGGAGTGAACATTAAAGGCTTCTAAATCCCCCAGGTCTAAAAATGTCAAGTCCAAAAACTCTAGGTAATAAAGGAACTTTTTAGAATTGTTTTTCTGTTACAGTGCCACAGAAATCACTTGGTCATGAGGTAAATGAACTGACATCAAGCAGATTACTGAAGCTGGAAATGGAAAACCAAAGTTTGCTGAAGACAGTGGAAGAGCTACAAAGTGCAGTGGGTTCTGTAGAAGGCAGTAGTTCAAGGATTCTGAAAATGGAAAAAGAAAACCAAAGACTTAGCAAGAAGGTGATCATCAGTGTGTGTTTGTATTGTCTGTCAGTTGTCTAATGTGCCTTGCCATTTTTCTAAAGGGTTATTTTATGAACTGTTATTTTGGGTAAAGCATTATTAGGGTTTAAATAGTGTTACAGTGTTTGTAAGTTTATGGTATAAAAGGGAAACCATCTCAAAGAGGTTTTTGTCTTTAGTTACACTTTTTTATTGATGTAAGAATGTGACCATTTTAATCAGAAACGTCTTACACCAGTGAGAGAGAAAGTATTAACATATTGGTAACATAATGAGCAATAGAAGTGTTTTATGATACTTAAGAATGTTATTTAATTTGGGTAATTAGTAAGCAGAAGAACGTATGTATATGGAGATGAAGACTGATAAATCCAAGCAGAAAACTTGGTCATGTCCTCATTCAAAACTGAGAGAGGTTGGCCAAGGAATTGGTGAACAAGTGAATGTGTTCCCCCTGCCTGGGGCCCGAGTTCTGTCTGGACTCTTCAGGGGTTGAGTATTGTGGATGATGGATTTGACATTGCATATAAACCTTCCAGTAGATGATTGTTTAAAAATACAATGTCTGTGCTGCTTCAAAGTAACTAATTACGACTTAAATGTGACAGGAAAATCACACTTGGTTATTTTTACTTGTAAACACTTTTGCTGCCTGGTTGAAACTCTTTGACAATACAAACCTGTGTGGTTAATTCCCAAGGAATCATCATAAGTATCTCTTGAAATAGTCAAGTAAAATCAAACAATATTCAAGCCTTTTAAGTTAAAAGGGAGTTGGAGGAGCAATATAAGTCTCACTGAAATGGAATTTTAAGAGAGAAAAAAGATGCTTGGGGAAATATCCAGAGCCTAATAAAATCTGACCTTTTTAATGCAAAAATTACTTTATAGGCATAATATTTAGAGCCAGGGAGAAAATTCTGGCAGAAATAAATTCCTAGAAGGGATGAATCGTTTCAGATAAAGAATAGAAAATTCCATTTTATTCTTTCCTTTAACCTTTTTGTATTTGTATCTATAAGGGTATCTTCAACCCATTTAAGAGTTAATACCATTGTCAATTTTAAGTAATCTTTAGGAATATGTTTCTTTTGCCCTAGCTTGAAGAGCTAGAGAATGAAATTAGCCAAGAGAAACAAAGTCTTCAGAACAGTCAAAACTTGAGTAAAGATTTGATGAAAGAAAAAGCACAGCTTGAAAAGACACTTGAAGCACTTCGAGAAAACTCAGAGCGACAAGTGAGTAGCAGAATCAAAACTCTTAATGCTGCACTGCACTGCATTGCTCTCCTTTTGTAATTTTTTAACAGGCATAAAGGGACTGTAAATGTAGCAGACTTGCCAAAAGGACATATCTGCAGCAAAGTCTAAGACCTGCAGCCAGTGAGAGACATGACTCATTTTTAGCTGAGGCTTTACTGTTAGTTTTAGAACTTTTTAGTGTTTTGTAATGCTTCTGTGGCTTTCATGGGCTGTGCATTTGCTATAGTTGCTCAGAGGGTGTAGCTCAGCCAAAATAGAAAATTGGGAACTTTGGCAGTAAGCCAGACACCTCTCAGTGGAGGAAAACAGGTTCCAGACAGCTGGTCAGTGTTTGAAGTAATGTTGGAGTACTGATGAGAATTACAGGAGCCTTCCCCTTGAAGGGATCTGGCCAAGACCAGTGTAGCAGAGCTGGGCTGCTGCTCTGCTGCTGACTCTGTTCCTCCTCTGTCACTTACAGTCTGTTTTCCTGGGGTAGGAACCATCATATCCAGCCTCATAATATTTCCCTGTAGTAGAATATTTTCTAGCTGTGACTGTTGGATGGACAGCAGGATTTATTTCTGATTGCCAGACACTGCTGTCTGGCTCTTTGTGGAAGATCTGAGGAGGGTGGATCTGCATAGAGTGGGTGCTGACACCTTCTAAAGGTCTTTGCAGAGCAATTCAGAGGACCTGTGGAAGGCAGACACTGTGAAACAAGAGTTATAACAAGGGTTATGGAAAACTCTGGAAATCCCATCTTTAGTAATCAAACCCTTCAGAATTTGAACTGTAGTTACCTTTCATAAATTCCACTCATGCCTCTTGATTGGCACTTTTTAGTTTCATTTAAAAGTCCACTACTTTATAATACAGAATATTGTATTTCAAAAAACCTGAACATTTTCAAAGGACCAATTTAATCAGTAAATTAAGTTCCAGAGTTAGAAAAGAAAGCCCAAAAGCTTGGCATTGAAGCTTTGCTTTCATTTGAAGAGAACAGTGGGGTTAATTTAAAGGAAATATGCCAGCTTGTCTTGTTTAGAAGTGGTCATTGTTACAAGAATTGATTTATACATTGTGTTAGAAGTGTACTCTAGGGGGGAAAAAAGACCTGAAATGTCCTGGAATAAGTCCCAATTCAATCATCAAGGATAGGTGTGTTGTTTTAAGTGTGTTGGAGTAGGACTGACATTCCAGTGGGACTATTTCTGCTTTAAAATAGTATACTTGGGACTTACAGTGGGTTAACAGCATCTTGCATGTCTTTTACTGTGCTGAAACTTACTGGAATTGGCTGCAAAAGGTTCATTTGATTTCATCCAAAATCACAGAGGCATTGGTCAGGTTTTTTTTTTAAGTTTGGATGGTAGAGGGAGAATTCTTGGAAAGTGATTATGCCTGTTCAGCAGTGTACCAGGTTATGTAAAGAAGTGCTACAAAGTTGTGTTTCAGTTTCTCCTTTATCGTTTCAGAACAGTTTATCATGGCTGGGAACAGAACCATAGATTCTGTAATTAATAGCTACATTCAGACTGGAATATGAAAGAACAGTCTATAATTTTCTCAGTCTGCTTTTGACTGCAACTAGCCCTTTTGTTTTTCTCCAAAACAGTTTATTGTTGAAACCTCCCTTGTGATATGTTATTAGTGTATTCTTCAATATTGATCTGAGGAGTTTCTGGATTTTTGCTCTCTGTTGTTACATACCCAGATAATTTCAAATGATTTGGAGTAACTGAGAAAGTCAAGAAATACTAAGAAAAAAAATAAGATGTGAATGCTGCCTTTATCCTTGATTTAGGTCTTGGAATATGTTGTCTAAGAAAATAATTCAGTTCTAGTATGATTTACTTTCTTCAGAAGCTGTTTTGGAACAGCACATCCAAGGGTTGTTTTTAATACAAAAATTAATGTAAGTTTCTGTTGCTTCCCAAAATGTTACTGGCTGGGATCAGGATGCCCCCATATCCCACAGCCCCCCTCTGTTTTTTCCAAGTGAAATAAAGACACTTCTGTGGCTGCCACACCTCCCTCCATCTCAAGTTTGGTTCAGAACTTGAGTGCAGCTGGTTCTTTGTGGACACATCTCTGGAAATAACAGAGTAGCTGAAGAGAAATAACTAAATTTAGGAAAATACAGATGAAAATACGCTAAGAAATAGATAGAGCTTTGTTTTGGTTTGTGCTTTGGTTTTATTTTCATGTTGTCTACTCATATCCAAGAGGAAGATATTTGAAGGTTCACTTTTGACTTATTTTGTTGTCAGACTTCCACCAGTGTACACAGACAGTGTTTGTAATGCCTCAAATGCCAGGAGAGTAACAGGTTTTTTTTTAACTTAAAAGGGAAATATGATGTCATCTTATTATCTTAGTTGCTTTCAGCTTTTATACATGGAAGTAATTACTTGTTGGCATGTTGTTCACCAGAGTTTACAATTTTTCTACCCTAATTAGATTAAGCTATTAGAACAAGAAAATGAACATTTGAATCAAACTGTAGCTTCCCTAAGACAACGCTCACAAATCAGTGCTGAAGCAAGAATGAAAGAAATTGAAAAAGAAAATAAAATCCTTCATGAGTCTATTAAAGAGACCAGCAGTAAGTTAAATAAGATTGAATTTGAAAAAAAACAAGTCAGGAAAGAACTGGAACACTATAAAGAGAGAGGGGAGAGAGCAGAAGAACTTGAGAATGAGCTGCATCGTCTGGAGAAGGAAAATGAATTACTGCAGAAAAAAATTACTAACTTAAAAATTACTTGTGAGAAGATAGAGGCCTTGGAACAAGAAAACTCAGACCTGGAAACGGAAAACAGAAAACTGAAAAAAACTTTGGATAGCCTAAAAAATCTCACTTTTCAATTAGAATCCTTAGAAAAGGAGAATTCACAACTTGATGAAGAAAATTTAGAGTTAAGAAGAACAATTGAATCCTTGAAGTGTACAAGCATAAAAGTGGCACAGTTACAATTAGAAAATAAGGAACTGGAGAGTGAAAAGGAGCAGCTTAAAAAAAGCCTTGAACTCATGAAAGCCTCATTTAAGAAAACTGAACGCTTGGAAGTGAGCTACCAAGGCCTAGACACAGAAAACCAAAGGCTGCAGAAAGCCCTTGAAAACAGCAATAAGAAGATTCAGCAATTAGAAAGTGAATTACAAGACTTAGAGTCTGAAAACCAGACTCTGCAAAAGAACTTGGAAGAGTTAAAAATCTCTAGTAAACGCCTGGAGCAGTTGGAAAAGGAGAATAAGTTGTTAGAACAAGAGACTTCTCAACTGGAAAAAGATAAGAAACAGCTGGAGAAAGAAAATAAAAGGCTTCGACAACAAGCAGAGATTAAAGACAGTACTTTAGAAGAAAACAATGTAAAAATTAGCAATCTGGAGAAGGAAAATAAATCTTTATTTAAAGAAATAGTTGTATACAAAGAGTCGTGTGTACGCCTGAAAGAACTAGAAAAAGAAAACAAAGAACTGGTGAAAAGTGCTACCATTGATAAGAAAACCCTTGTCACCTTGAGAGAGGTAAACACAAGTCAGTTACTGTTTCCATCACAATTTGTTTGTAATGGAGAGAAATTAATGTTAAATGAATGTTCAGATTCCTCAGGTCACTATTTGTTCTGGCTGAAACTCTTCCCCTTGACTGTAATGTTTCAAACCAGATTTGAACGGGAGGGTCTACAGAAAGGAAGGGAGTAAATAACTACAGTGAAATCATATTGTAGTTAAAAATGGAATATCTGATAGAGCTGACAGCTAACAATTGGAAGGAAGGGAGAGTTAACATTGAGTTATTGTAGTGATAAAAGACTTTTGCCTCAGCACTTCTAGAATTAAGGCTGCCTTATTGTATTTGTATGGTAATACTGACTGCAGTTTTTCCTCTGTAAGGACTTGGTGAATGAAAAATTGAAGACCCAGCAAATGAACAATGATCTAGAAAAACTTGCCCACGAGCTTGAAAAAATAGGCTTGAACAAGGAGCGTCTCCTGCACGATGAGCAGAGCAGTGATGACAGGTGAGGGTGCCAGGGCTCACCTGCAGCAGGGTAGGAGTGAGCTGCAGTGCTTGCACTGGTTTGGTGCATGCTGTTAGATTTGAAGGCACACTGCTAGACTCAAAATGGAACTTGCTGTTCTGTGCAATTAATAAGGTACTTGATGAGCTTTTACATTCAGCTGTCTGTGAGAGTGAGTTACAGCTTTTTATAACTGAGAAATGTCTTGAAGTATGTCAGTAGATACAGGTAGTGTGTAATTAAGATGTTTTGAGTCCTAGTTAGCAGCAGGAACAGTAGCACTAAAAGATAATAGGCCCAAAATGTTGGGTGGCTTTTTCTTTTCCATGTTTGACTGATAGAAATGTTTTTATGCTTTTTTCATGTAGTGGTCACCTTAAACTGCCTCACTCTTGGGTTACAATTATTTCCTTTTAATTCTTCCTTCCAAAAGGAAGCTGCTGCATTCCCACTTGCACAGGCTGGGAAGCATCCAGTACTTGAGTGTCTCCCAAACTTCACAGTGGCTCTGTTGCTCTGCAACACCTGCCCTTAGAAAGCAGCTGCTGTCCTGACATCTGTTTCCTTTACTGTCTTTTGTCTTCTGTTTTGTCCTGCAGGGATTTAAGGAAAATTTGTGACAGGAGACAAGCAGACTGGGGTGGGCTTCTGGCCAGTCTTTGTTTCACAGTGCTCTGCAGCAGTGCTTTGCTGCTGTCGTGATCTGTGATTGCAACGAATTGCCATGAACATGTAGGTTGATTTTGGGCCTTCTATGGCCAAAGAAAACCAAGCAACACTGGTTTTTCCCTTCAGTTTCCTTTTCTTGCTGCCAGTGCTCTTCTTATTCAGATGGTGCCAGAGTCCTGTAGGGAGAACCTGTTACCACCTCTTGTTTTCTGCTGGTGACTTTCCTACCTTTGTCAGCTCACAGATAAGTTCCTTTGGTAAATGTCCTCAGAACTTTGATTTCTTCTGATTTCAGCATTACTGTGTAGCATACAGGGCATAGTACGTGTGAATACAGATGAATATACTATACAAAGAAGAACCAATCTGTGAGCTAAGTTGAAACTTAAACTGCTTAAATGAAGACGTCCACATTAAGCAACATTTTTCTAAATCACATCTTAAATTCCAAGTGTTTGGAGTGAGTGCTTCCACAAAGACAGAGAACACTGTTTAGTAAAGGTGCTTTTGCATGTTAAAGGATCTGTAAGTCTACTTCTACTTCCCAGACAATGGCACTTGTCTTTTGCCAGTCCTCACACTTCTCAAAGATCAGACATTGTGAGCTCACTTCTCATGGGTTAGTTGGTTTGTGACATTACATGAATTATGACTTTGGACCATACAGTGCTACTGTTCCTTCACATTTTACAGAATGATGCTGTGATAGATCTATAAATTACAATTTGGAAGAAAACCTGGAGTTACATGTCTCTGGAATAGGGAGTTTTATCCAGCTTTCATTAAATTATAATCTGTAAAAGAACTTCTGACATGCTCTGGCACTTGTCATGACCTATTCCTTTGCTTCCAGATCAGTTGTGTGAGAATGATACAAATAAGTGAATTTCTGTTCTCCCCACATTGCCATAGTTCTCTTCTAATGGTATTCCTTTTTCAAGGAGTCACTGTACACTTTTTACTACATATATATTTATATGGAGAGCACAGCCCAGGGAGCAGGCTCAGGCATTGCACACTATTTGACCTGCACTTGGCACGTGTCTACTGCTGGCATTTGATCTCTTGTCATTTGGTGCTGCTCGACTGCACTGCCCTGAAAGAGTCATGCTTAATTCTGTGCAGATTGTCTTGCAGCAGGAGATAAACACCTTTCTGGACAAGCATTATGGTAAACTTGATTGGCCAGCACTGACCCTGTGAAAGCACCACAAAAGCAGATGGAATAATTGATGATACAAGATATTTGGATATGGGGCTGGGTCTGATGTGCCTATTCAGGCTGATTTGTGGGGAGATATCCAGGAAGCTTGGTGTCTTGAAGCTTACTCAGAACATTATCTAAAATATCTAAATTATCTAAAAGCCTCTGAGCTGAGGCTTGCAGCCTAATAGATGTAAAGGAATTTGGGCTATGCTACTGTTCTGAGCTTCTCAAACCAGAACATAGACTTTAACAATGTCATGTAGAGCTGGGTGATTGTGAAAGGGAAATATTTGTTCTCAAAGTGATTGGTTTGGAATTGTGCTCTGCCACTGTCCTGCCTGTCCATTATTCTCAACTTTCTCACCCATCTAAAAGTAGCTGGATTGCTTGCTTCATATTATGAGGCATTAGCAATTGTTTCAGCAGGCCTGTAGAAAGCTGGGTTCATTGTGGCCTAAATGACTTCTCTGTCTATGTTTGGTCTGCCCATCTCACTGTGATGACAGAAATTTCAAAAGCACAATCTTCCCCTCTCTGATTGGAGAGAGCTGCTTCTGGGTTTATTTTGTCAAATGTTCATGGTAGCACTTCAGAGTCTTTTTACTGGGGCCTAAGATGACCATGTCTGATGAGTTAACTTTGAAGTGGGTTTTATTTTCATTTTCTCTTTCCTTTCAAATGGCCATTGCCTTTGGACAAAAAATTTAATGGCCTTTGACCCTGAATCTGAAATACAAAATCTGAGTGATACTGGAAAGTATGTACCTTCATTCATTATTAGGTGTCCAAAAGGAAACTGGGGATTTGGTCTCAGCTATGAGTCTTTTCCTTTCTTTGTTTTCTACATAGTTGTGTTACTTATCAGGAACAGGAATTCTTACTTGTAGCTGAATATATGTTTCAGCTCAAGAAGATGAAATGCTCTCTCTAATACTGGTCATAGGCTGCCTACTGTTTAAATCCCTGAGAACTACTTGTCATATCTTAAGATCTCAGATTCTCATCCTAGTACATGATGCTACTGGACATCTTTCTACTTACTAATTCTCTTGCCATTGGTCTTCTGCTCCAGTTCCTGGCTAGATCTAATGCTGTTGTCCACTCAGGAGTCTCTTGCAGTCTATTCTGATCACTAAA